GAAGAGAAATTAGAAATATATATATATATATATATATATATATATATAGACAGGGAAGATACATAGTAAACCGGATGAAAAAAGGGAGATGGAAGAGAGAGAGAAATATAATAGAGGGAGAAACAAAGAGAGAGAGAGAGAGAGAGAGAGAGAGAGAAGGAGGGAGAGAGAGAGAGAGAGAGAGAGAGTGAGTGAAAGAGAGATGGAGAAAGGGAGTGGGGGAATTCGTTAAAGGTAAAGACCAGTATTGGAAACGCCCCAATTTCAAAAAATGAACTGGAAGCTCTTATTACCAATCATGTGAAAGAATATGTTTTGAATATTACATGACGATAACAATTTTGACGGAAAACCGCCTACTAATTGATATATTTGGTAAATTAGTATATCTATATACTGTTGAGAGATACAAATGCACGTGTCCACCCGTGTGTGTAGTCCCATACATCTTTCTGTGTACAGTGCTTCTACCTTTATGAAGACTTGGCCAAATTTCTTATAATTTTGATGATTCCAGAACCTTGCAGTACATCTATGCTAGATGATCAACCTTTTCTGATCGATTTCACAACGTTTCTTTCACTATGCAATTGCATGACCATAACTGGTCTTTAGCTTTAACCACTAACCACTTGCACACCGTTTAGGTTGTTTAACATCTTTGCAACATAACTGTTTGTTTAGAGAAAAAATATCCATATACAGTGAAAGAAAAGTGTTACGTTTCTTTTATTCATTGAATGAAATACATGCGGAGATAATTGGACTGGAACTAGATCTCCTGAACGGATTCACAACAAAACAAACGTGTAATGATCATTACGGTTCCTCATTATCTAGGTTCAAGTAGGGTAATTGAGGTATCATCAGATATCTCATATTCACGCTGTAACCTAAAATACTCACATTATCGAGTAGCAACTTGTACGGTTTGCATGCATGTGTGCTTTTTTTTTTAAACATCTCGACCACAGAATGTTTAATGCTCTCGGTATTCTGTTACCACTTATCAGTGACATACGAGGAGGGTTCACATACCCTTCCTGCGAAACTTTCAAGACGCTCAATGTCTTACCTCACTGGTTCAGCACGTGTTAAGTTAGGGCTGGCGAAGGGGAGGAAAGACAAAGTCCAAGAGGATGAGAGACACAGAGGCAAGATAACGGTGCAGTTGATCCGGCCAGAATTAGGGTTTGATAGAGATACACATCGGTGAGACGACCAATCGATCTCACTCTGTTCTTCCCGAGAGTTCAATTCCCGAAGGTGGTGATAAAATGGAGTATCGGTGTTCTTCAGATTCGGAAGTGGATGCGTAAAAAGGGAGCATGGAAGGGCAAGGAGAAGCAGGCCACTTGCTGTGAGATGGAGTCCAACTAGGTTACAACTTTTGTATACCTTCTGTAGCGAAAGTTATATACATCCGGCATTCTTGTACTGATCATCGATTTGTGTGTGAAATCTCATTGTCATAGGAGCCGTATGATATAACAAAAGTAATATAGAGCAACCAATTCCGTCACTAGATTTGCCACGAACAAGTAAAAGCTCTTCATAATCTAAAGAATATGATTCGCGATAATCCCGTTCCTAATTCAAATTGGTTTTGAAATCTACTTTTTAATATAATTCCATGAAAAGCTAACTTCCATCTTTTGTATTTGAAGGGAAATTCTGAAACGGTAAATTACCCTCTAATTTTGTTTAAACCGTTTGTAAAAAAGACCACTAAAAATTCGTTAGAAAGTGGGTTTACTCCTTTTAAAAATTATTCCCAATTTGTGTGCCCCTTATTCTAATGTAACGCTCGCTCCATGGCTGCAGAATCATAAAAATATATAATAATATAATATAACAATACAAAAGGAATAAACAGACTTTTTAATGAAAATAATAAAAGCAAAGATAATGCCATGATAAGAGAGCTATAATCAATCGAACTTGAGTTTCGAAACTTTATAAGTGGTTTACTTTACACTTGGTATGGACCACCTGTATGTAGAACGAAACAAAATATTGAAGGGAGAAGGGTTGACCTTTAGTAGCATTAGCATGCATTTGTATGTTCATGAACTAGGAAGGATGGTGGGGATATAGCCCTAACCAATCCGCCGGGAGGAGGGGAGGCATACAGTCCCCGTTAATTCACCAATTACCAATTTTCGTACAATGAAGTGGCCTCCTGTGATTTCTTAAGTATATTAGTATGATTTAAAAACATTATCAGCCGCTGCAGTAAAATGACACATTGACAATGCTCGCACGTTTCGCTTGCTCGCAAAATATAGAAAAGGGAATCTTGACAATTAGGCATTTAATAGACGACAGCCCTGTAAAAAGCAGGTGTCCCCATACAGGCCGCAGGCTTAGGGAAGGGAAATTATGTTACATCTATTAATAGGACAGAGTGCATCGTTGACATTCGAAAGGCTAATGCAAAGTAATTCCTTTGAGCCATCCAACAAATTTAGCAAAATGGCGGAGTGCACTTTATATTAATACCTACAGGGTGAAAATGGTAATATTCTTCAAACGACACATACGCCCTGGACTGAATCGCACGTTTGTGTAATTGAGTTCCATGTAATTGCATACCATTTAAGTTATTGCATTTTGAATAATAAAGGCTAATTGCCGTAACCGATCAATTACATGTGTGTCGTTTAGTAAAGGATTGTGATACCCTTGGGGTCTCGCGTAGTCCCACTCATTTATGTAAATGTGAGCATTGCTCTAATTTCAATGCAAACTTCCTGTTCCAGTAAAGTTAATGCGATTATCATGCAATTTGCTGATAATGTTTAGCCTATTTTGGTAATCTTGAAGTATTCCTGATAAGATGAATGTTCCGATGTTTTCGAAAATGACTGCATTGATGTCATGAGTTTTACGTCGTAGAATGTATTGAAAATAGTGATAGCAACAATGAGATGGATTTTTACCGTGCCTGATACTATGTCTCTAGGCGCCATGGTGCTGTTGTCCTAGCAGGCATTATGCATATAAACATATTAAGCCTACTTCTACCCAACAGAGAGCTAGGACAACATCACCAACATTTTCCATATTACATACTACAGATCCCTCGGAGAGGACCTAACGCCGTCGGTCCTCTGGTTGCTTACTAACAGGCATTTATGCTTTCTTAGCAGTCAAATACAATAACCACCACTACTAATGCCGATGTAATTACGGACGCCGAAATAGAAATATGCATATATTTATATATTGAAAGAAAAAATGTGAATTGCTTTATAGAGGCATTTAAACAAGTAGGTTTTTAATATGGCTATGAAGGTGTGTTGAAATAGAGCATTCTTAGATGTAGGGAGGGAGGTTGTTCCAAAGTTTGGAAGCGGCGTCAGAGACAGAGAGCTCTGTCACCGTAACGTATCTTAACGCGGGACCAGACATAATTTAAGTTGTAGGTGTGAAGAAATAGAAGCCCGCAGCCGGGAAGAGGTTGCCTCGGATTTGATAGGTATTGAAAGATATGTCGGACAGTGACTATCACAGATTTTGAAGACAAGGAGGATAATTTGTAATTGTACACGCTGGGGTATTGGTAAACGGTGGAGACCGCGGAGGATCGGAGTGAAGTGTTCATGAGAATTTGAGCGTTGAAGGGAGTTCGGTTAACCAAAACAGGTTGAAATTAGATGAATAAATAATGAGTTTTTAATGAATGTTACAGGTGAAAAACCTTAAACCGAAAGACATTATGTAAACAAGTATGAGTGCACACTTTGTCGTTGTACATTTAACGTCAGAACAACGTTGGTGTGTCATTTTTTCATGTTTTATCCAAACTGAATACACAAAAGCAGCTAGGGTTACTTGAAAAATGGAAATTCATGTAATAGTGATACAGGAATAAGTGTCAAACCAGGGCTTGTAATAAAGTCTCACCTCCCTGGTCAAACACTTATTGTATTGCATTGTAGAAACTCTGAGGACCACTGTTATCTACTGTTGCCTACTTGAATATAACTATCGATAAAAGCTAACTACAACCTGTGGCCAATTCATTCCCCCAGCATAGGGGTACGCACCCCCGGGGACGATTATGTGTCCTTGGGTTTCGAAATACATCGGCACAGATGTATCAAGGATACACGGCGAACCTGATACGAAAAGCTACGCTTAGCGAGTCAAAGTACCCGAATACTCCCCTTGAGGCAGCGTCGGTGCGTTTTCATGAGAGAGGCTTGGGGGGAAGAAATATTATGAATAAAAAATGAATGTGAATATCCCCAGGCTTATGACTAAAATAGGAACTGATGTTCAGTGTATGTTTCCATTGTATGTATTATGTAAAATTGTGCGTTGAAGTAGGACGCAGGTTGAACCCCCATCTGTTTACTGACGGGAATACACGAATAAGTTTAACACTCTTATTCGGGGATGCTTTGAGGAAATGGAGAAAATCTCCTGAAATTCTCGTACAGCATCACTGATCTCTATATATCTCATAATTGTTTTTATCTGGTTAAGACGGGAGATTTTTTGCAAAGGGAAACTTTTTCAAATTTAATTAAAGATTTAATAACAGGGCTAATTTTCAATGATAAATGTACAATTTGTTGGGGTTAAGTAGTGAGTTAGCAGCATAACCAGGGTTGGGGCTGCATAGACACGCCCCCCCCCCCCGCCCCCCAACGAAAAGTACGAAAAAACGCCAGTGTCCAAGATATTAAAAAAAAAAAAAATTGGAAAGTGAAGAAAAAAAATATTCTTGCTCAGGGACTTTGCAAATAGTCTCTAACCCATGAAAAATGTCAGTTTCAATCCCTCAATTAAAATGCCTTTTTGCGCCCAGTCGCTAAGCTCACTCTAAAAAAGAAGTTTATACAATCGTATTATTACAAATGTTCTAATTAAAATGCCTTTTTGCGCCCAGTCGCTAAGCTCACTCTAAAACAAAAAAGTTTATACAATCGTATAATTACAAATGTTCTAAGCAATAATTTATTTGTCTGCCTTTTCATCTTCTGTCACAGGTGTCCACTGTAACCGTACCTGGGATGGTATCCTGTGTTGGCCAGACACTCTCGCTAACTCCGTACATAGGCTGCCTTGCCCGATCTACCTTACCGACACTACGACAAGAGTAGACAGTAAGTATATTAATCATAAAGATGAGTTTAAATAGTTCCAGTGTAAAAACGCAATCGTCCAGTCTTGAAAAACATCGAGGAACGCATTATGGGCAACATACACAATTACATCAGGTGGCGTGATATAAGGGAGCTAACAGATAGCACATGGTACAAATGACCCCAAATATCCACAGATCTTTTACACATGGAGAAGTTCCACTTTGAGCATCTTAGAATAATAACTGCCAAAGTCCTAGATGTGCTTCATGAATACCTTTTGTTTGACCTCTTGAAAAGAATACTTCCACCTGCGTATCATAGAATGTACCTTTGGTGCATAAATGAATAATGTTACATAACTTTCATGAGCGCATATCCAGTATTCATCTCTGTGAGTTTTATCATTTTGGTACAAATGACCTTTATCTGCCCATGCGCAGATTGTATCTGTAAACTCCCTTATTGGTGCTATCTTGAGTCGACAGCACGCATTAGGATTGTCAGCTTAAGATCAGGATTATTGAAGGTTAGGACCGGTTGGGAGTAAAGAACTTTTATCATATTCTCAATTTGAACGATTCATTTAAAACAAGTTTACATAACAAATACATTATGCTATATTTTCCTTCATCAACCCATTTTGGAGAATCCGTTTTTTAAAATTATTATCATTATTCTACTCGTTGCATTAATGCTCGACCTTTTTTAACGAGAACGTTGAGTTTTGGGAAGAGGTGAAAAATAATTATGAGCCTTACCATTGGTATTATGCAAGTGTGGAAGAACATCAGATAAAACATGTTCACTGAAAAGTATGGCTCTTCAAATGCTTTCATATTCTAAATATTGGATGGGACAATCGGGACGTATTTTTTATGCCACATGTTCATGTAGCCCCCATATACATCTTTCTTTGTACAGTGCTTGTAACTTTACCAAGACTGGGCCAAATGTCTTATCATTTTGATGATTCCAGAACCTTGCAGTACACACCAATACCTATATGCTAGATGATCAACCTTTTCTGATCGATTCCACACCGTTTCTTCCACAAGGCAATTGTATGACCAGAACTCAACTTTATCTTTAAAGTCGAGCATTTACTGAGTTACCCGATCACAGAGAGGCCTCAAACCTTTTTCATGAAAGATATTACTGGCAGTGCGGATTGATCATTACTAAGGCGTCTTGATACATCACTATCAAAGGTTTTTATTGGTTGTCTTTTCCTCGGGAGATTGAGGGGTATCATTGGGATTTAAACAAGCGTATGATTGAAATTAAGGGGGCACTGGGGTCCATTCATTACTCGGTGGATAAATAATAAAAAGTATCACAATAAACAAAATAAAAATCATTACCTTTCTTTCTAAAGATTGAGGAGGATCATTCGGCCCCAGGCAAGCATATTGCTTTAAATAGTGGCATAGAGTGGTTCCAGACAGTTGAGGGGCAGATGAAATACGAATGAACGCAGCTGTTGATTAATTAGGAGGAGGACTGAGGGGGGGGGGGGGGGGCGTAGCTTCTCCTTTCACATTTAATCTCCCTTCACCTTTTACAACTTACCAACCAAGAAATAAGGTGTTGCATGTTGAATTAGAAATGTAGGAAAGGTAACATCTTACTGACAAAGGAAATAATTTGTTTTCTTCGATTAAATATGGATGTGAAAGATCGACATGTCACCCACTGCATGCTTTTCAAATGCTTCAGACGGCAACATATCATAACAATTAAAGGAGGCGATCATGATGTGACAGACAAAGGTACTAAAATACGTGTCAAGAAATTAGACGTTATCTCTCTTTTTATCAGAATTGAACAATTTGTGTACACAAAAAGAAAGATTAAACAAGGGAAATTCAGTGATGAAACAAAATTACAGTGTTGTGTGCGTGTGCGTGTACGCGCGAGTGTGCGTGTGTGTGTATTGGTGTGGGGGTAAGCGGTACTGGAGCGCGACTGCAGATGTAAGGCCGAAGATCAACTGATGGTCAAAATCAATTATTGATAGCTGCTGCAATTTTTGCCTAGGCCCCGTCTCATAAACAATTGCGATTATTCGCAATTCATTTGCGAGCGATATGAATTGCAACTATGTGCATAAGAGATAGGAGACTGCGATTAATAAAAGGACTGGCGACTGATCCGAATAAATTGCAACTCCTTATAAGATGGGGGCCCAGATATGCATTCTGCTCCAATTCGCGAATTTTCCGAAATTGAACAGTGCTCTCTCAAGCGCAAAATATTGGCAACCGTGTTTAGTAGACCCTCATTGATAATTTCATAAGGAAAACAATCATGCAGATATCGTGAAATTATTATTTTGGAGGATATTTTCAAATTGTGTTTATTTTGTGTACGCATTGTATAGACAGTGTTTTTTTTTCTCGAAAGATGAAAGTTGAAGATGACTGCGGTCACATGAGTCTACGTATGCTTGCCGTCGTGACGTAGAAAAGAGAAGCGGGGAAATTCCCTTGGAAGGATATGAACGACAATTCTCTTGCTGAAACTTTCTGGTCTGCTGTAACGAGAGTCTTAAGAAAGAGTCAAGCGTAATTCAACTACATTCCTCTTCACTTAGGAATAAGTAATATTACCCATCAGTCATCCAAAATTGATGATTCTCCTTTGCGCATACTTGAGATTTATTAAAAGATACTCATGTTACTGTTCCTAATCTGCTTCTTTCTTGACTTCTAATCTGTCTTTATCTTTGTCCACCGTCTTATTATCTCATTCTTCTCTTCTTCTCTTTCCTCTTTTTCTATTTCTACTACTACTTCTTCTTCTTTTTCTTCTTCTTCTTCTTCTTCTTCTTCTTCCTCTTATTCACCATCTGCATCATCTTCATCATCATCAACATCAACTTCTTCTTCTTCTTCATCTTCATCATCATAATCATCATCATCATCGTCATCGTCATCATCATCATCATCATCATCAACCTCTTCTACTTCGTCATCATCATGATTATCATCGACATTAACTTCTTCTTCCCCTTTTCTTTTCAGTTCCTTTTGTCATTTTTCTTGTTTTTCCCGATTCCCCTCTTTTACGAACCATACTGTTATCATCCTTTTGTTTTTCTTCTGTCATAATTTTTCTATCTAACCCCAAAATGAAGCTTAGAATCATTGTAAAAACCTTGCTGAGTCCTGGAATACGGCACAATATCTTTGTATGTATACCCTAGGTAAATTTAAGGCATTTGTTATATAGAAACAAGAGCTAAAATTCCTTAACACGCACGTCATTTAAACCGCGAACTCCCTGATGGTTTGTACAGCTTCATAAGCACATTACGCCAGTTTATACATGTACAGTGCGTCCCAGAAAAAACGAAACCCCCAAACAAATTGTTATTGTGAACAAATTTTTTAGCTGTTTAAAAACAAATTCCTACTATTTTTAAAGTAGAATTGTTATACAGGTACTTTCAAATGATGCTTTGACTGCATTAATCCACACATGCTTCACCAGGCAAAATTAATTATTGCCATTTCCGTTAACACAGTGAAAACGTTTGTAGCACATGCGCAAATAACGTAAGGGAAATATTAGCGTTCAATAATACCTATGCAAGATTTTTATTGCGTTAAGATATGCCTTTTACATAAGCAGTTAATATGTCTAAAAAGAAGAGGGTAACCATTTCCGGGATGACAGGGGCGAACAACCTCAGATTTTAGAGAAATCAATAAATGTCCCTCGAGCAATGAAAATTCCCCCTCTACTGATTGAAAATGGAGCCCTTCCTGAACGGTAAATTATATATTTTGACTGTTTATTCTGTGCGTTATATGCCCTTTGGACAAAATCTTTCCCACACTATTACCAACATTTTAGACGGTTTCATCAAATTTTGGCACAAATGGATTTTTCACATGCCATTTTCAAAACAATGTTACTCAGTGAAGCGTGCATGGATTAATGTCGTTAGTGTATCTTTTAAAATCATATTACTTCTAAAGTAGTGAATTATATTTCATACAGCTCTGAGTTTGTTTACAATATCTAATTGTTGTCGGGTTTCGCGGTTTTTCTGAGATGCACTGTATAACATGTTGTCTCGGAGATACTTTCACAAAATATGACGATGTTATCCAAAATAGAAACGTAAGGGTAACCAAAGGAATGTATATGACGGTAAAGTTCCTCAACTAATAAAATTGTAATTTTTCATGAACTATCTCTTTGTTTATTCTATGGTAGACGTCAGTAGACATAACAGCCATAAATGTATGAAATATTACTCAATTTGTAATCCCACATCCCGTTATAAATTATAAAATATCCATTTTTCTTGGAATGTTCTGGATACCTTCGATTTCAGTCGATTCTATTCTCTCATGAAAGCAACAAATTTTATAGATGTAGAAATAGATTTTACCCCTTTTATAGCATACCAAATATTTTTAATGGCTTAAGCTTCGAGTTCAATGACAGAGACAATTTCCTTAGAAGTAATAAATACCAATGTTTAAGTGATGTAATATCTAAAATATAGTTATTAATTTTCTTGAAAGAAAATGGGGCTAATGACAACGGGATGGAAAGAAGAAGATGAAGAAAAAAGAAAAGGAAAAAAAAGGAATAAAGAGTTATGAGAAGAAGAGAAAAAACAATAATACAGAGTTAAACAAGCAAAACTAAACAAAAGAAGATAAAGATAAAGAAGAAGAAGAAAGGAGAGAAAGAGGATAAAGAGAAATAATACAAAATAAAGAGTAATTTAATGAAGAAAAAGAAAAAAGAAGAAAAATGAGAAGAACAGGAGATGAAAAGAAGAAGGAGAAGAATGATAAGAATAAGGAGAAAAGGAGAAGAAGAATAAGAAGGAGAATAAGATGGATCATACATGTACTTTGGGACACCTGGACATTAAACATCAATGTACCAAATTTCTTGCTCAATTACTTTTTAATCATCATGTGCTTATAATCACAAAAGAATAAAAATGATAGCAAACTATCAACAGCCGATCATAAAGTAATCAAAATATGTTTGTCAAAAATTTATTGGGCTGTTTATTTCCTAAGAAAATAGATATACAAAACGTGAAGAAACATTAACAAACAAGGAATAAATAATCAAGTAAATAAAACTACATTTATACACATCAAAGTAGATAAATTATAATGATTGAAACAAAAATACAATTACTCTTACATTTAACTGTAACATATCCGGGATTCTTTTAAAGAGGCGACGTCTGAAAACAAAACAAAAGCTATAACAAACGATCGATCAATAACAAGAACAAGAAAACAAATATCAAAAAAGTACACCACAATACATCAAAACCAAAGAAAACATGTTTTTCACCACGTAGGTGGAGGCAAGATCCTTCAAGCATCCAACCAACCAGGCGCGTACGCAGGGGGGGGGGGTTTGGGGGGTTAAACCCCCCCCTTTGGAAATTTTTTGTGTGTAAACCCCCCTAAAAAAAACCTAAAACCCCCCCTTTTGATTTTTTTTTTTTTTTTTTTTTTTTTTTAATTATTAAAAAAAAAAAAAAAAAAAAAAAAAATTATTCCCATGGCCGACCTAAAAAAGGTGACCTTACCCCCCCCCCAACGGAGCAAAATGTCAAATTTCCAAATTTCGAGACCAAAAAAAAAAAAAAAAGTGTCCTCTTACCCCCCCCCCCCCGCTTATTCAGCGGTCGGCTGAGTCGTTGCGATTTTTTTGGGACCAAAAAAAAAAAAAAAAAAATGTGTCCTCTTACCCCCCCCCCCCCCCCCCCCCCCCCCCCCCCCCCCCCCGCTTATTCAGCGGCTGGCTGAGTCGTTGCGAAATTTTCGGACCGATTTATAAATGTTAAAACCCCCCCCCTTGAAAAAATCCTGCGTACGCGCCTGCAACCAACCAACCATAGAAAGATCACTGAAACCAAAGGAAAGTGGCTTTTGGAAGATGGGTGATGGTGACCGAGGCACGGTATAAAGTCTAATGAGGTGTAATTTCAGACCAGGACAGTCTCGTAATTATCCCCCGCGTGACCAATTAGCCAGTACTGATCAAATTGTGCGCGCGCCCCAGACAAAGTTATCGCCCGCAGATGAGCGCTTAACGCTATCGTATTCGAACTGGTAGATCGATAAATGGGACAAAATTGTGACCGCTACGGTGTCATTTGTAAAAAAACACAACTGATGATTTCCAAGAATTAACAAAAGTTCCGGTAAATTTAAGAGCGTGTTTGTTAATGAGCTGTAAAATGGATTTAAAAAGAAAACGAAATTATTTAATAAAAAGGCAGGATACAAACTAAGATCTTGAAGTGCAGTTGTTAAGCAGATTTGTTGTTGTTGATGGGTTGGTGGGCTTTATGAAAAATAATATATTTAAATATCTGTTTTTGTTATTGTTTGTCATATCGGTATCTCGCTCCTGGAGTTTTTAGGGAGGAAGATTGGCAAATAGATATCTTTAGATCAATATCGCTGAAAGATATTTCGAAAGAAATTACCGCCTGCATGCCAAGGTGTCCCATTCACTCTCTGCTTTTTGTGGGACATAAGTCATGTAGGAAGTTTTTAGGACGTCACATATTCTGTCTTCTTTTCCTGTATTTTATTCATCTTTTAATAACAATAACATGTGTCGTATACAATTATGTTAGGGTCATTTTATGGCGTCCCACCTCAATCGTCGTACTTGATATATTCAAGGGAAAATAGAGTTTTGTTATGTAATTTTAAAATATATTATAGTGGTAGAATTGTCCACTAAAAGGACTAAGTTCTTCAAATGCGGTTATGATCGAAATATGACAAGATGACATGAGTTATGAAAACAAATACGTGATCCAAATGTTCATGCGACACGTGTGTATAATTCCAGGAAGCCATTTCTTATCTTTTTATGATTTCGAAACTTCAGAATGTACACTAATTCCGCTGTAATACATAATCAGCTTATAGTCAGTAATGTTTGTCTCACGAGATCGGCTCTCAAATCGATCTTAAGCATTGACTATATTATGCTCTTGAATTTTCCGATTTGTACCAAACAGATTTTTATTAAATGAAGAAATCGTAAATCTGTGATTGTCTTTATTTAACAGTGTATGCTTCCAAGAGCTGTGAGGCAGATGGAATATGGTATAGCGCTGAAAACAACGAAACATGGACCAACTACACGATGTGTAGAGCTGCAGATGAAGATAACAGCATCTATGAGGTAAGCCTTCGGATAGGACGTACAATAATAAGTTCATTGATCATTTATTCAACTCCCATCGGTGTCCATGAACGTCATTGGATATTTTGTCTCATTTCAGCATTTGCCGATCTAATGTTCAACAATTTGTTCAAGTACGAAAACGAGTAAAGAGGGAGGGGTTATCAATTTTTGCGATGTGTGACGACTTGAAATTTCTCCCTTTCTCTCTTTTTCTCATCCCCCTTCTCTCTCTTTCTCTCGGCGTATCGCAGTAACATTACTATTCCATAGGTAGCTTTGAAGTGGCTCTGTGAAAACATTACTTTGAAAGACTAATGGTCACGGACCAAATGCAAGTTGTCTGCTCATTATGCCTTTCTATTTTTGGCTTTCCCGCTAAAAAACCTCAACCTCATTCCAATATCATTCCGCGATCAATAGTTCATGTAATATCATCAGAATCTAACCACTTGTTGATATGGTATCTATCTTTACACATGCATCAGCTTTCTTTACCATATTTTTCTTCCATCCTTTTTTCCTTTGTCTGCCAACAGAAGATCTACCAGTCTCTTCAAATTGTATACAGTATTGGATACTCTCTCTCGTTAATTTCACTCGTCGTTGCCATGGGAATATTCCTTTACTTCAGGTAAGAGCACAGAAAACTCATTTCAGAGAACATATCGAAGGCTTGATTTTCTCTGAATTCTAAATTTGATCTTAAAAATTTGTTTGGGTATTGATCCTTTCTGGCTGTATGAAAATTCAAAATTGGTTTCAAGGCCAAGCGGACGCACAAACAATTCTACATATTTGATGCAATTTTCTTTTATGCCACGAGAAAATCCTCCTGTGTATATCAAAAACTGTTTCAACCACTTTGATTTAAATAGTTGATAAGGACATATCTACATTCGATGTATAATTGCATATTTATAAACTGTATATATGAGTCATATGTCATATTTTGTTTGAGCGTGAGAGAGATGTAATTTTTTCAGTTGGTTTTTAGAAGCTAACATTGAGACCCTAGGCACAGTAAGGGGCACATCAGGGGCTATTCTTCTTCAGTAGTAATTATTGATCAAGGTCAGCCAGATTTTGATTCGCTGGTCATTCAGGGCCCCCAGATTACATATCGAGCTGCCTCGGTGGGATAACTCCACGGCCAGTCCAACCTGCTGCTAGGGAGGGGCGTTATTCCCGTGCCCCCAAAAAACTAAAAGGATCTCAAAGTAGTTGGCTACGGTGCTTCATGAAATGATGATACAATTTTACGGAGTACATTTTAAGAGCATTTTCCATACGACCTATGCATATTAAATAAAAATGTTTCACTTGTTCTAATTTTGAATCATTGATGACAGTATCAGTGCCATGATCATTCAAACGAAAAAAATCAAACATTTTTTTATAGTTCAGTCACATTCGTCAGGGTCCGAAGTGTGAATTGGGGTCATCCCAGTAGACCAAGAACCCACGATACCGACAGCCCACGAATCAGAGATACATATAGTGCGTACAAAAGATTTTTTAAAAAAGATGGCGGCTTCGTGGGCCGCCTGTCTGGTGAATGGTCTTATACTGGACCTAGGCCCTTCTAGAGCCGGCATTGTCCAGGTTTTGTCGGTATTGTGGATGATCGGTCTAGTTATTTGCATCATAGGCTGTCGATCTTGTACATTTTTGTTTTCATGGACTCTCGGTCTCGAGGGCTGTAGTCGGTGATAATGTTGCGAGACTGATATATGTGTCGTAATGGTGAACCCTATAGCGGAAGGTGCGAGGGTCATGGGTTCGAACCCCTTCCCTCGTGTGTGAGTAAGGCACGGCATGTACATTGCCTCTTTATACCCAAGAGTAGGTAGGATGCAAACGTCAACGTATTTAAACTCGATACATGCGCCATTTTTAGTAAAGAGTGGGTACTACATTGGTGAGGGATGTACATCAACGTAATCGTGCTAATGATCAGGTTGAAATTACGCTGAATTAATAGTTTTTAATAAATGAAAACGTGCAGTTGAAAACAAAAATGCAATTCCTATTTATTTGGTTTTAAATTATGCTGGTCTCATTTTTTCTCCTTCAATATTTACGGAAATGCATCTTCATTGAGTAATAAATCAGTACTAAGTAATTTCGTGCCGTGGCAATGTTGTGAATCCGGACCATGTGATTCATAATCTTGTGACTTTTCCACTCTTAAGGAAATGGGGAAGAAGAAGTGAGAGCAACATAAGATTCTGTTTTAATCATTACCTTTGTAGTGTCTTTGTTAAGATCAAGACACTTGAATCCTAATATCAAGACGTTGGCCAACGCCATTAAATCAACACTTGTGTATTCTGCCCTCCCACACACACACACACCCACACGTACACACCCACATATACATATCCACATCCACAACCGTCATCTATAGAGAAGAGGAAAGGAAAAAAGAGGAAAAGGTGATCCTAGCGTGGAAAATATATAAAGAAAAAAAAACAAACATTACAAACATGTCTTAATAAGTAAGAAGAAATGTCAGAGGGAACTTTTCGTGCGGTAAATATAGAAGAAAATAATGGCCCCTCTAATGAGCGTCCCATATGTCTTGAAAAATAAGTTTTATTTCCCAGATGAGATTGTATTATGCTATGTAATTCATCCGTATAAAACGATAAGAACAATAAACCTAATGTCTAAATTGCTTCCTGTTATTGCATTGGAAAGACTTGTTTTCACAAGTCTTCGCATCTGCGTACACTTCATAATCATCTACAGTGAAAGAGCAAGTCATACTCGGTTACAATTATTAAAAAACTGTGCCGTTCATATCTCATCAGACAGTGACAGGCTCAAGATGATCACTCCAAAATTGAAAAGGTTACATTATACCAACAATTTCATGTTGCTTGGAACTCCAAACATCACCATAATAACGTGATCTATTTACAAAACGTCGAGGAATCTGAGACACGATGAACGGTCGCGTGATCGATTTCCAGGCACCGTCTATGTAACATTTCCCCACCGGTTAGATTAGTTAAATAATTATCGTGGGTTTGGTTTACAGCAGAATGTTGAGGCTCGCCTTATATATTGATGGGTTTAAACGTGGCTATCTAAATCTAATCAATGTCGCTTGAAATGGGATACAAAATACGCCTACAAACCAAACAAACAACGCTGCCAATCGATTTATTTGAGTCGATGAACCAGAAATAACATTTAATACCCCCGACGATTTTGCCTATTGGCGAAACTTTGAAAGACAAATGATTATTTACAGGAAATGGAAGTTTTACAATATTGTATCCTTTTAATAACAGATTTGAAACATCATAACATTTGGTAAGGATCTGTATCAAAAATTTCCGAACGAAGCTCCCAATGTTGTCACTTCATACTCGTAAAGCCCGCAGCACACGTCTGCGTTCTAAATTACCTTTCTAATTTATTGAAAAATATTCACTATATGTTTCTTATCTTATTTGTATGCTTTGTACTTTTCTATCGTAAGATATAATTGTACATGATTTTCTATTTAAATTACTTCTGTAAACATTCTATTCATCGATTTTTTATTGTTCGAATGTTTGTACTTTGAATTTGTATCTTTTTGAACACAGAAATACAATCAATCAAACAAACGAACAAACAAACACTATAATATCGGGCTGCGATCCTATTTTGAAGAATTTGCTCTAGCATCTAGTATGAACATTTAAACTGTTAAAAATAGTCTACAGATGATCTGTAAAGTCATATGATTAGTTAATTCTAAACTTAAAGGAATGTTAAGGTTCTTTGGAGAAGAAAAAGCTAAATCGGCTCAAAATCATAGTGACGTCACAACAATAGTGTGATTGTTTGCGATTTGAAGCCGATTCTACTTTTATCCTAACTTGGAAAGTTGAATGCATTAACATTCCGGCCGTTAGTATTCTTATCATAATTTACAACGTTAATCAAGAAGATAAAATTGTGTTTAGCCTGGATTTCCATATCTAATATAAGTGTCATTTCTTTAAAAATCGGACCGCGGGAAGACAATTTAGTGTGCAATAGGCTTTAACGCATGATGGAGAGCTGTGATGGAGAAAATTTCCCCGTATTACACTACATTTGTGTGTGTGACCTCTACATATAGGTCCTAATGATAATAACACCACATCGGTTGGTTTTATAGCGAGTACACATTAACGTTAAGTATCCTATATTTTCGCATAACATGTAAATATGCAATTAAGTGTTTGTTAACAATGTGCAAAATTGACCCTACTTCGTGATTTTATTATTTTTTCTTTGTCAAATCCACAAATTCTGAATATCTGCAAACATCCCCGAAAAATACCCCCCCCCCTTTATGCGTAATTATCACGATGTGTTCCATAAATCCCGTTTTATTTTTAGGAAAATGAAAATGAAAAGAAAAAGAGAGTGAAAAAAAGGTTCATAACGATAATTGGGGCACCGCGTATAAGGCTCGTGATTCTGTATCAGAATCAATAGTTTACTTTAGTAATCGATCTGACAAATTGCTTCGTCGACGAAATCGGTCGCAAGCCCAATTTCCAGGACAAAATCAATTGTTCAGATAGGTTTCGTTACAGAAACAATGATATTGTTACAGATCAGAAGTGTTACATTAAGCGCCTGAAACTTAATTTAAGAAATCTGGTGGTTATCGTTCCACGAGTAATCAGTTTACAGTTCCTATATTCGGAAGAAACTTCTTTAACGACATTTTCTTCTAAATATATGTATATATATTATATATATATATTCCAATTTTATTCAAGCATTTAGATTTCATGACGAGAAAATACATATGTTTTCAATTCGTCTGTCAAGAGCAAGAAGAGCATTATTCATTTACATTAAAACAGGATTAACACCTTTTTTGCTCTAAAAAGACGAATTGTTGAATCAGGGTTTTCAGAGATACGATAGATAGATAGATAGATAACTGGTTTATTAATGAAAAAACATCATTGCGGCATAGCCGAATTGCGATGATTTTACGAATATTCCTTTTTAAAAATGACATAAATACATTTGTACAAACGTTTAAAATACATTGGGAAATATAGATTAAAAAACATATTGCATATATTCAGACTGCATCAAAAATTGACATTATTGTTATTATGATAATACTGTGAAGTAGTAGGATATAAGTTTGAAGTTTAAATGTTAAATGTTGGTTAGTCATACGGTAAAGAAAGTTTAGTAAAAAAAAAAAAAAAAGGTGTAGGAAGAAGATGAAGAAGAAGGGGAAAAGGGAACAGGGGAAAAAGAAGGAGAAGAACAAGAATAAAAATAGGAGAATAAGAAAAGGGGAAGAAGAAAAAGAAAGGAAAGTAAAGAAAAAGAAACAAAAACAACATATTGCCTGAATATTGGTTAACCTCCCTCCACAGAAAGTAACAGTGTATCTATTACTCATCCCACCCCCCCCCCCCATGTGCACACACATGCATGCACAAATGCACAATCTGGCTGAGTGTCGACCGCAAAACATACTGATACAAAACATGCTAAAGGGAGCTTCGACAGTTACATCTCAGTTACATGAAAAAGAAGGGGAAAAATGATTCAACATTTTGTTTACGTTTACTTAGAGTTCATTTCACATGTTTACTTAGAGTTCACTTCACA